GAGAAAAGAATATTGATCGAAAAAACCGTTGACGCAGGCTGAATTAGGAAGCTATTGGGAGAACTGCAGTAATAGTGAATGGAATTTGTATTAGCAAACCTCGTAACTCCATTTTTTCCAACTCACATTTTTATGCCAACTTGTAGAAAAAAAAAAACCTCTATTACATATTTCATACCTCATAAATTCAGAATCTAGAATCCAAAATAACAAATGTTAGCATATTATTCTACGCAACGAAAAAAATTACGATGATATCGTAAAATTATCTTTCATCTAGTTGATTTATGCATTTGGAATGGATGTTACATAAATAAGAAGATTGCAAATAGAAATATTCCACTTTTACAGAATAGAGAAAAAGTTATTATGAGTTTAATTGGTGAAATAGAAACCAATACTGCAAAACAGTCCAATATTTCCGATGAAAATTGTCATTACTTGGAACCCAATTCTCCGACACCAAAGGACAAATGCCCGATGTGGAGATACCGGCAGTGTAAGAAAAGGAAAACAAAATACTTTTGCACCTCTCTTAAGCTAGCAGGACCAACTGGGCAGAATCGATTAAAATCTATTACATTACTTAGTACCAATTTTGTACTAATTTGTACCACAATAAAAATTTTGTACCATATGCCGTTTTCAAAAAAAAAAAACGTGGCGCTGCTAGGTTAATATTAAGCTAGCAGGACCACATTAAAAAAATAAAACAAAGGTAGAATTAAAACGAACTGAATTTGTACCAAATTGTACCACCAATCAATTTTTTGTACTATGTACGGTTTATAAAAAAACACTTGGTGCTTCTAGTTTAATATTAAGCTAGCAGGACCACATTAAAAAATAAAATAAAAAATAAAACAAAAGTAGAATTAAAAAGAACTAAATTTGTACCAATTTGTATCACCAATAAATTTTTCGTACTATGTACCGTTTACAAAAAAACACAAGGTGCTTCTAGTTCAATATTAGGCTAGCAGGACCACATTGAAAAATACAAAGGTACAATAAAAAGGGATTGATTTTGTACCGATATGTACCATTAAAATAACCTAATTTATTTAATCAAACTGCCTGAAACAACTTTCAAATTATTCCAAATCTGTTATAATTAAAAATAAAGAGACTTTTTCCAGAAAAAGAATCTATTGCAATTTTTGAATAAAACACAACATAACTTGTACCGTTAAAATATAAATTTTCAGAATATGCACCCCTGCCGTTCCTTAGAAACATCCTAAATTCATATTTCTTTTAAACAGCAAAATCAATCGTTACTTCTGCAATAAAAGTACGTTAAAATGTAAATTGTTAGATTTTGTACCCTTGCCGTTCCTATAGAAACTAACCTAAATTCATATAAGGCTCAAGAGTAGAATCGGTAGTTACTCCTGCAATAAAAGTAACATAATTTGTACCACTAAAATATGAAATTTCAGATTTTGTACTCCTGCCGTTCCTATAGAAACTAACCTAAATTCATATTAGGCTTAAGAGTAAAGTACTCTTTTGCAAGAGCAGAATCAATAGTTACTACTGCAATGAAAGTAACATAATTTGTACCACTAAAATATAAAATTTCAGATTTTGTACCCCTGCCGTTCCTATAGAAATTACCCTAAATTCATATAAGGCTCAAGAGTAAAGTACCCTTTTGCACGAGCAGAATCAATGGTTACTCCTGCAATAAAAGTAACATAATTTGTGCCACAAAAATATAAAATTTCAGATTTTGTACCCCTGCCGTTCCTATAGAAAATAACCTAAATTCATATTAGGCTCAAGGGTAAAGTACCCTTTTGCACGAGCAGAATCAATAGTTACTCCTGCAATAAAAGTAACATAATTTGTACCACTATTTGCATGAGCAAAATCAGTAGTTACTCCTGCAATAAAAGTAATATAATTTGTTCCACTAAAATATGAAATTTCAGATTTTGTACCCCTGCCGTTCCTATAGAAACTAACCTAAATTCATATTAGGCTCAAGGGTAAAGTACCCTTTTGCACGAGCAGAATCAATAGTTACTCCTGCAATAAAAGTAACATAATTTGTACCACTAAAATATAAAATTTCAGATTTTGTACCCCTGCCGTTCCTATAGAAACTAACCTAAATTCATATTAGGCTCAAGAGTAAAGTACCCTTTTGCACGAGCAAAATCAGTAGTTACTCCTGAAATGAAAGTAACATAATTTGTACCACTAAAATATGAAATTTCAGATTGTGTACCCCTGCCGTTCCTATAGAAACTAACCTAAATTCATATTAGGCTCAAGGGTAAAGTACCCTTTTGCACGAGCAGAATCAATAGTTACTCCTGCAATAAAAGTAACATAATTTGTACCACTAAAATATAAAATTTCAGATTTTGTACCTCTGCCGTTCCTATAGAAACTAACCTAAATTCATATTAGGCTCAAGAGTAAAGTACCCTTTTGCACGAGCAGAATCAGTAGTTACTACTGCAATAAAAGTAACATAATTTGTACCACTAAAATATAAAATTTCAGATTTTGTACCCCTGCCGTTCCTATAGAAATTAACCTAAATTCATATTAGGCTCAAGAGTAAAGTACCCTTTTGCACGAGCAGAATCAGTAGTTACTCCTGCAATGAAAGTAACATAATTTGTACTACTAAAATATCAAATTTCAGATTGTGTACCCCTGCCGTTTCTATAGACATTAACCTAAACTCATATTAGGCTCAAGAGTAAAGTACCCTTTTTATAGGAACGGCAGGGGTACAAAATTTTATTTTTCATATTTTAATGGTACACATTATTTACTTTCTTTGCAAAAGTAACTATTGATTCTGCTCGTGCCACACTAAGCATGAGGAAAACCAGAACCACAATATTGCACCCACAATCCGATGGAATGATAGAGCGAATGAATAAGATCATTGACAAATATCTGTCAAAAGTGGTTTTACATGATCAACGAGATTGGGATCAGTATTTTTCGCTCTTTCCAATGGCTAAATAAATCCGCTGTCAATGAATCAACAGGCCAAACACCAGCAAAGATTCTGTTTGGACGTGTGATGAGACTACCTTGCGACCTCGAGTTTGGATGCCGACCTGGAGAAGATGTAGCAGGTGAAGATTATGTGATCCAGTTATAAAGAAGAATGGACGATATGCATAAATTGGTCCGCTCGCATCTTCAAATTGCCAGCGATAGAATGAAGAAGCAATGCGATACCCAAGCCACAAAAGGATGTTTCAAGGAAGACGACAAGTCTGGCTCCATAACCCAAAAAGACAAAAGGGTTATTCTTCGAAGCTTCAAAGGTCTTGGAAAGGTCCGTACTTCATCAAGAAAAAAATCAATGATGTCATTTACCGTATAAGTAAGATTCCGAACGGCAAACCAAAGGTCACCATGAAGAGGAAGAAAAAGTAAACCAGCTCCAAGAAACACCTGATCTTGTCTTTGAAGAATTTATGGGTGCATATGGAGGTAACAGAAAATCAAGACATGGTATTACAACAGAGCAACAACAAGACCTGCTCACGGTTCCTAAAGATTATTTGCTGGTCCGTAGCACTTCCGCCAACATCTACGACGCTCGAGGTCTGGCATCTGTATTCCGGAAGAAGTTTGGTCGATTGCCAGAACTTTAAGATCAGTTACCAGCCCCTGGAAAAGCATTGAAACTTTAAGATGGATCGCGTTATATTTTCCATTTGGTAACAAAGAACACCTTCTGAGATCGATCCACCTATCATGATGTATGGGAAGCATTACTCAGTGTGAGGGAGCATGTACTAGAGTCCAATGTACAGAAACTAGCTATGCTAAAGATAGAAAGCAACCAGCTGAATTGGAAGTAATTGGTGGAAGTAATCTTCCAAGATATCTAGGTTGAAATACTGGTCTGCAGCCATTCTCCCAGCATTCAGGTTATATCGAAGACCATCTCTTGTTACTTCCATGCAACTGGAATTTGTAAAAGAGGATCCAGTTGCAGATACAATCATGCAGTTTTAGTTCCAGGAGCAACTATTTCTTAAAGAGGGGACAATGTCATGGGAATGTGTAAGCCGTCTCTGTAGAGTGCGACCTTCAGCCTGCCACTCGACTCATAGTCGAAACAACGCTGACGTATAGAGACATACGCTCCGCTTCTCGAATATACCAGAAAAAGGTATACATGGCCGTTAAGTCATAGAGATGGAATTTTCGGGTGACATTCGAAAGCGTCTAGAAACTTCGAGTACAGAGTGTGCTTTGTATAAATAGTGCAAGTTCGTCGACGGACGAGTAGTTTAGAATAAAGTATTGGACTGAAAAAATAAATTGTAATAAATAAATTAGAATTGTGAGTTAGTGCCTAAGTAATATATCTATAAATTAATTAGTACGTCATAAATAAATTTTAAATAGTGGTTTTAAATAAATAAACTATAAATAAATTAAATAAACGTCACATTATTAATAAATGAGTTTATCATAACTTTTTCATCTGGTATGCCGGTATTAATTTTACGAGCACAAGTATGATATATTTCGGGAATCATCTTGAAATTTAGAATCTAAAAAAATAAAATATACAGGAAGTGCCATTAAAAAAAATGTCGAAAACATTTACCCTGTATATTTCATTGTTTGGGAAGGTTAGGTGGGGTGTCATGGTCGCATTCCATATTTAATATGTGATAATTTACCTCATGTGTTATTATGGTATGTTTTATATTTTCCAGTGGGTTTCAGTTGTCGGAGATATGCACTCATTCTGATACAAAAAGCCAAGAATATTTTCAAAGCTATACGACTAAAATATTATACTTAAATTTTATAGTCAAATATTTTCCGTGTAATTTTGCATCAATTACCCTTGCCATCTTATACGTTTTACGCATGATAACTATAACACTTTTAAGATAAACTTTGACATTCATTGATTTTGTTTTAAAGATTAAATATAGCTTTGGTAATTCCCAAAAGTGACCCATATGCGATATTAAAATAATTCCTAATTATTTAAATTAATCTGTACAGATGCTGTTTGTACTCACTTATGATAATGTTAAGAAAGTGTCTTTTTTTCATTATTATTTTTGTTTGTTTTTCGAAAAGTTTCGAATTTGAATTTGTGGTGTTTGCAAATAATGCAGGTGTAGCAAGTTCTAGAATAGTGAAAAGGGTAAGTAAATAGCTGTTTTGACTTATTTGCCACAAGGTTCAATAATTTTTTCTTGAGTCATCATACTTCCTAGTTATTTTAAAGTTTTTCCTTTAATGTCCGTCCCTCTATTATTAACTTCCTGTTACAATTATGTTCTCTGCTACCATTTATTCTTTTTAAGTAGAGAAAGGCTAAAGTAATTTAGGGTCATATTCCTTCGCGAAGGGATAGAGCTTAAATGAAAGGCAGGTAGGTAAATAATTTTTTATTGATCAAGAAGATTTTTATTTTTTGGATGATAATAGTCAACAAGTGCTTTTTAAGTCAAACTTATTTCTCCGCCTCCGAAAAATATGGACGAGGTGTAATTCGATTCGAAATAGCGTGTAGATGGTTTTTGAAAAAATTCAAGAGCCGCTTGCAAAAATTGCAAAAGTTATAAACAATTAACTAAAAACTATTTGACATTTTCCAAATTTAAAAGAAGATTCAAAAAGAAGAGGAAATTTCTCCAAAAAAAGTCTTATCACCCAATATTTATGCAATATATTTAACCCTAATTTGAGGGTGATTGCAACTAACTAATTATGGTCTATGAATTAAACACAATATGTTGATTTTACAACCATTTAATTCCAACTGGTATTTCAACTGCGGTACAAAATATAAAAATGTCTCTACAAGATAAGAAATTAAATTTACAGGGTGTAACAATTTGAACCTATAAAATAATATGAAATAATTATATTAGATATTCCACATCTCCCCCTCAAAAAAAAATAGAAGTATTAACCTTAAATTCAATATTTACAATCTACCAAGTTAATTATAATTTAAACGATTCACTGGTTTGACCACCCTTTTGGGCCTACTACTAGCACCTAAACTACTATTTACATCACTATGTACATCATTATTTACACTAGAAACTTCATTTGAATCATCTGCTTGAGACACTAATGGAAGTGAAGATTCCACGATATGAAATTTTTTCATTTGATTCAAATGACGTTTCCATTCTGTGTCTTGCAATTCTGGAATTTTAACAATATATGTAACTTTCCCATTTTTTTTAACAACAATGGCTTTTATCCATTCCACCTTATTTTTTCTTCGATACTCGCGCACAGTCACCTGTTCACCTGGCTCGAACACTAAAAACCTTTTACCACTAGAATAAAGTTTTTGTTTTTCTTGTACCTTTGATATATGATTTCTCAAATTGGTTTGATCACCAGGTAAAAGTATATCAAAACGAGTGCGTAAATTTCTTTTTAACATTAATTTCGCCGGACTTACATTTGTTGTACAATGTGGGGTTGAACGATAATCAAATAAAAAATTATTGAGCGCTAAATTAATGTTAATATTAGAGCTTTTCCCAAGTGCATTTTTCAGGGCATTTTTATTTGTCTTAACGGCGTTCTCTGCTGCCCCATTAGAGGAAGGATGGTAAGGAGGCCTAGTAATATGCAAAACATGATTATTTTTTAGAAAGTTTTCAAATTCTAATGAACAAAATGAAGTACCGTTATCAGTTACGATTTTATTGGGTAAACCGAATCGGGCGAAACAAGATCGTAATATCTCTATTGTTTGCGATGACGTTATTGAAGTCATACGAAAAACTTCAATCCACTTGCTATGAGCATCTAAAATTATTAAAAAATAATTACTTAAAAAAGGATCCATAAAATCTAAATGAAGTCTTTCCCATGGCTGTTCAGGCCAAGGCCAAGATTGAACAATGGTTTTTTCTGGAGAATTTTTATTTTTTAAACAATTTTCGCAAGTTTTGCATATTTCTTCAATTTTTTTACCTAAATTGGGCCACCAGAAATACGACCGCGCCAAGCTTTTCATTTTTACCACACCCATATGTGTAGAGTGCAAACTTTCCAAAATATTTGCTTGTAATTTAACAGGTATTACAATCCTGCTGTTCCAAATTAAACAGTCATTTTCAATCGATAATTCATTTTTAATTTTATAAAAATATTTAAAATCATCATTCTTTTCAAATTTTTTATTTAAAGGCCAACCGTTTTCTACGAATTCAACAACAGTTGATAATATTTTATCTTTTACCGTTGCTTGCCGTATTTTCTCGAAATTTATCGGAATATTTTCGTTCATAAAAAAAATGTCTATATAATTGAAATCTACATTTTCCACGGAATCCTCTTCCACTGGTTGAGGAAGTCGGGACAAAACATCTGCAGGATTATTTTCACTTTTTACTACTTCAATGTCGTATTGATAACTCGACAAAATTATTGCCCATCTGCGCAACCTATTTGCGGAATATTCCGGTATTTTTTTATTTGGATGAAAAATATAGGACAAAGGCTTATTATCGGTTACTAAAGTAAATTTTTTTCCGAATAAATAGTTATGAAATTTGCATAACCCAAAAATAACCTAGCGCCTCTTTTTTTAAAATACCAAATTTTTTCTCTCTATCTATTAAGGTTCGCGATGCATAAGCTATCACTTTTTCTGTGCCGTCAGGCATACTATGGGAAATTAATGCTTCTACTCCATAATCACTTGCATCAGTAACTAATCGTAAAGGTAGTTCAGGATCGAAATGCACTAAAACCGGTGCTGACGCTAAAATTTTCTTAACATTTTCAAAAGATTGCTGACATTGAACAGACCAACACCAAGTTGACTTTTTTTTTAATAAATTATAAAGTGGATGCAATAATGTAGATAAATTTTTTACAAATTTTCCATAATAATTTATTAAACCTAAAAATGATTGTAAAGAAATAACATTAGTGGGGGGTTGTGCATTCATTATTGCTGAATTTGTCTCTGACGTATGTAAACCCTCCTTGTCAATATCATATCCTAGATAGGTAATTTTTTCTTTAAAAAAATCACATTTCTTTACCGATCATTTTAATCCTGCTTCTTGTAAACGAGAAAGGACGGTTCCTAAACGGTTTAAATGTTCATCCCGGGTTTTTCCCGTAATCAGGATGTCATCTAAAAAACAGACAACGCCCTCCAACCCTTGTAACAACGATTCTATTATTTTTTCAAATTTTGCAGGTATACTTGCAATGCCAAATGGTGCTCTATTATACCGAAACAACCCTTTATGAGTCGAAATTGTTACCAATTCTTTTGATTCATCATCCAAACATATTTGTTGATAAGCATTTGACAAGTCAAGTTTCGTGAAATGAACACCTCCAGTTAATTTACTAAATAAATCATCAATTTTAGGTAAGGGGTAAGAATCAAGTTCTATAAAAGGATTCAAGGTTACTTTAAAATCGCCACATAAACGAACCGAACCATCTTTTTTTAATACCGGAACTATAGGAGTTCCCCATAACGAAAAAATCTACCGGTTCAATAATCCCCAACTCCATCAGTCTATCAAGTTCTTTTTCCACCTTTTCTCTCATCATAAAAGGTAAAGGACGTGCCCTGAAAAATTTGGGACTAACTGAAATATCAGATTTCAATTTAATTGAAATTAATCCTTTGTTAAATTTACCTAATCCTGATGAAAATAATGTTTCAAATTTATCAACTAAATAATTAACTTCCACTGGAATGGCAAGTTCATTTAAATTAAAAATAGTTAAATCAAAAAGATTAAAGAAATCTCTTCCTAACAAGGGTGGTCCACCATTTTTTATGACAAAGAAATTTAAAGTACCATATTTTCCCTTGAACAGGATTTTACAAGTAATAAAACCTAAATGTATAATTTTATCCCCGTTATATACATGGAAAACCTTTGTAGTTTGCTGCAAAAATTTATTGCTAAAATTTTTAGAATAAAAATTATCTGAAATTACAGAATAACTAGCTCCTGTGTCCAAACTAAAAGTAAACATTTTTTGTTCTACCGATAAATCTATTAAAACCAAATCTGACTTTTCTTCTAAATTAAATAAATTAAACAAACAATAATCTTCGGAATCTAAAAAATTATTTTTATCACGATTGTTCGATTTATTGGAATTATTTTTATTTGGACACATCGGAGCCAGGTGACCTTTTTTGTTACAAATATGACAATGGCATTCACGATAAGAACACTTATCTAATTGATGGTTTTTGCGTCCACAAACGGAACACCTAAAATTTGTTGACGATCCTACCGGGTGACCTCTGCTTCTTCCTGCTGCGCTGCGACCATATCGCTGACCAGACGAAGGATGAGCATGCGTAGGATGCTTAAACTTAGAAGTGCTTGCGCTGGTGAAATGAATTTCTGTTTCCCTTTTTGTCGCTGTTTCGAAAAAAGTTTGATTTGCCGACTTGGACGAAGCTATTTTCAAAACTTTGAAAAATTTCACAGTGGCCTTTTCTTCAAAAAGACGATCTTTCACTGAACCTTTTTCGTAGTTAATTATAAATTGATTCACTAACGATTTCTCAATTTCTGCGCACCACCAAATTCACACACGGACACTAAACTACGCAAACGCGCTGCCCATTCTTTAGGACTTTCTTGGGCTTGCGGGATCCAAAAAATTTTTCGCGGTTAGCAAAAATTGATGTAACTGACTTAAAATGTTCATCTAATAAAGTTAATAACTCACTAAATTTTTTCTCTTCCGGTTCTTCCGGAATACACATATTATGTAAAAGTTTATATGCTTCTTCATTTAATAAGCTCAAAATTATTGCACGTATACGATTATCATCTTTGATATCATTGGCAGAAAAATAGTTCATAAGTCTTTTTTTATATACTGACCAGTCTTACCGGGCACGAATTTTTGTATGTTGCCGGTAAATGGCACTATCACTGTGTCCGGCATTTCAGGTACAGAAAAAAAAATTTATGCCGAAGACTTGACTACACAATAATATCACTAACCAACTAACAAAAAATCTCTCGCCGCCACTTTGCAATATATTTAACCCTAATTTGAGGGTGATTGCAACTAACTAATTATGGTCTATGAATTAAACACAATATGTTCATTCTACAACCATTTAATTCCAACTGGTATTTCAACTGCGGTACAAAATATAAAAATGTCTCTACAAGATAAGAAATTAAATTTACAGGGTGTAACAATTTGAACCTATAAAATAATATGAAATAATTATATTAGATATTCCACAATTTATAATTTTCCCAGAGGGTTGAAAATAGGACCGAAAACGGAGACTCTGGTTTTCGCAAGCTTCGCCCACTGTGGACCTTTAATGAATAAATATTATTTAAGGAGGTCCTATCGCCACCATTAAGAAGCATTAAATATTCTAGAACTCGTCATAATATGACAGCATCTCACTATAGCCTATAATTTTTGTTAATTATTATATTAATACTTATCATTATTGACAAAGTGCTAGAGGTTAGAATTATTTGGGTCTCAATGCAAATATAATTGTGTTATCATTTAGAAGCATTATATATTCTATAACTTGTCATAATATGCTAGCATCTCACTATGGTCTATAATTTATGTTTGTTATTTAAACAGTAAATTATTGAAGACTTGCTAGAGGCTAGAACTCTTCGGGTTTAAAGTCAGAAAGAGTCAAGTTATCATATAGAAGCATTGTATATTCTAGAACTATTTACATGAAATCAGAGCGTTCAAGAATATCACACGCTCACTCGGTACATCCTTATTCTACTTTATTTTGCTAATGTGAAGTCAGTGTCATCTTAAATGAATTTCTAAGTTCTCCAGCTTCAATTATAAAGCGTGAAAGCTACTTATTTTTCTTTCCATTGCTTATAGAGCCATCTTCAAAAAAATTAGGCTTCGACCAATTTCTATTTGTCAATTTAATATAGTGTCGTAAAATATTGATAGTCTTTAAAACAGCTTCAGCATAATACCGGTTTGAGTTATGTGTTTAATAATCGACTTCAAAAAAGGGGGAGATTCTCAATTCGTCAGAATATTTTTTTAATTTTTTTTTCAGTATGTTCAGCCATAATTATTTACTACATTGTCGGATTTCTATGAATCTTTTTTTGTTAGAAAGGGGGTATTTCAGGGATAATCCCATATAAATTTAGTCAAGATGTAATAATTATTGGGTTCATGAAAAAATCATCAAATTCTTAATTTTGTATGTATGTTCAACGACAATTCTATACCACATTGTGCAATTTTTATGATTTTTTTTTGTTAGAAAGAGGGTACCTCAGAAGTGGTCTCATATTAGAGTAAGATCTCAAAGCGATAAGACATAACTTATTTTATAAAAGATGAAACTTTAAGTTCTCAGTAGTGTCTCATGTACTTTGTATACCTGCGTGTTTGTGAAGTTTGCCCAGTGACACCTGGGCAGGTACCAGGTGAGAAAGGTGACTAAAAATAAGAGTTACTTAACTTAAATTTATATGGCTGATTTTTATATATATTTAATAGAATATCATTTTCAAGTAGTATCGCAAGTATCAGACATTTTCCATGGACCAAAACTTTTGTCAGACGCTGTAAAGCTCCACCAAAAATAAATGAACTTTACTTATTTTTTAATGTCTGATTTTTGAATATGTTATCGAGATAACTATTACAAAATTATATTTAATCAGTCAGACAAATTGGAATGAGCAAAAATTCCCTAAACACAAAAATTATTCGGCCGTGAGTACGAGCGCGAGAGCACTATGCGCATGCGTGTCAGAGTGAAGAATTTAAATATTCCAAAAAGTACTTACTGCTTTCGATAAAATATTTTTGTATCTCTATTTAAATAAAATGAATTTCAACATTAGGGTAATAATTAATAATTATTAAAGTAAAACAATTTATTGCATATATTCGGTAAATTAATTTTTTTTCGGAGTAATTGTGTTTCATAAAAAATTATTTTTATTTTTTTTTTACCAAAGATAACAGTTTTTACATTTTTAAGAATAAATTATTTTAGTAAAAAAGAAAATAACTATAGTTAGTAAGTGAAAGTATTTGATTGTTCTTAATCATCGTTATGATCATCAAAATAATCATTAGAATTTTCATAATTGAACCAGTCATATTGTCCATTCGAGTCATCATTCTCATCGTCATCATTTATGTTGTTGTCGTTGCTGTCAGCTTCTTCTGTAAAAAACAAAAGAATTACAAAACATAAAACTACAAATATAAAACAAAAAATAAATTGTATACCTAAAGTTAAAGTACAGTACCTGGATCTTAAAGTGCTTCACTGACGTCTCCTGGTAATTGGTCACCATCAAACCAATGAAGGTGATACTGGTTTTCTTCTAACGTCCAGCCATTATTTTCAGAAGTAAAGATGGTTGGTTGTTTTTCATTTGAATTATTCGATATGCTAGCAATGTAAGCTCGGAGATATTGTTGAAATAATTCAGTTTTGTATGGTGGTAAATTGCTAGCATCAAATTTTTTTAAAATTTTTGGATTAAATTCTTCGTTTACATCAGAAACGGTATAATTATTTAAAAACAGCTGAAGTCGGGCAGCATCAACGTCAAGTGTGCCAGAAACATTATAAATTTAGCAGATAAATTTTTGTACTTTGTTAAAAATATCCTGTTGTATGTGTGCATCGGTAAATGACTAGGGGCTTCCAAATTGCATAAAAGCAAGCTGATATTCATGCTTCTTCATCAATATATTAGAAGGTCTTTGTTTATCTTTTTTGAAAAAGGAAGGTTTAAAGTCACACCCAGGCAATGCATGAAATCCTGGTAAACTTTTACACAAAGATGGGCTCAAATGCTCGTAATTTTTTTTTAAATTAATGTATCTCTGGTTATTTATGGTGCCTGCGTATAACCATACATTGGAGTCATCATTTTACAAATTATCCATATGTCCTAACATAATTATTGCAATATCAGTGTCAGAACATCTAATAACAAAATTTGCTTGAGCATCAATGTTACAAACATGAAAAACTATTTTGTGTCAGCTTCTTCATGCTCTGGACAGGATAAACTGTCATCTACACCTGATACAACTTTGTTGTTATCAACGATGTAAGAATGACATTGTTTAGAATTTATAAATATCCGTTTATTCTCAACAAAGGAATCATTTCATCAGATGCCCAGTGTTGAATAAAGAAATCAACGAGGGACTGTTTAAAATTGATGTTTTTCAGTTCTTTAAAAAAATCTGAAGGTCTAACTTGATCAGGAGCAGCAATATTTAAATCCAGTTGAGTTTATTCTTGGCGAAGAAATCTTTCATAATATTTAATCGAAGGAGAGAAATATTGATCAAAAATAACGTCGTATCTTATCGCTTTCAGTTGCGTTACCATTTGAAGCATTTTTTTTTGATATAGCTCCAAAAGTTTTCTGGACATTTTTCATGGTATGTAGCAAAATGAAACCGTCAATTAATAAAACATCTATTTGAGCAGGTGGATTGTGCTCTAAACCTTTCTCCAAAGATTTCATCAAGGTGGATTTCTGGGTTTTACAAATGGACGTCTCACTCGCTCTGCAACGCATGCATAATGCTCTCGCGCTCGTACTCACGGCCGAATAATTTTTGTGTTTAGGGGATTTTTGGTCATTCCAATTTGTCTGACTGATTAAATACAATTTTGTAATAGTTATCTCGATAACATATTCAAAAATCAGACATTAAAAAATAAGTGAAGTTCATTGATTTTTGGTGGAGCTTTAAAGCGTCTAACAAAAGTTTTGGTCCATGGAAAATGTCTGATACTTGCGATACTACTTGAAAATGATATTCTATTAAATATATATAAAAATCAGCCATATAAATTTAAGTTAAGTAACTCTTATTTTTAGTCACCTTTCTCACCTGGTACCTGCCCAGGTGTCACTGGGAAAACTTCACAAACACGCAGGTATACAAAGTACATGAGACACTACTGAGAACTTAAAGTTTCATCTTTTAGAAAAGAAGTTATGTCTTATCGCTCTGGGATCTTGGACTATATAAATTTGGTCAAGATCTGGTGTTGGGAACTATGATACAATCAGTAAACTCAAATTGTAAAGACATCTGCACCATTATAAAGTCGGTTTTCTAAATTTTTATTTCAATTCAACTAGACATCCTCCCAATATTGCTAAGTAAATTGTTACCTATTAACTATTAACAAAGTGTAGGTTTGATTGATTTTTGTAAAAATTGCACATTATTTGCCAAAAATAACTATTATCTCTTCAGAAGAAGTTGTCCAGTCGTATTTATTTATACGAGGGTTGTCCCAAAAGTATAGCGCGCTCTAGCGGGCGTTGTCGACAACGTAGACAGCTGATCAGAGCGTCAGTGTAACTACTTTTATTAATAGGTAATATTAGAAAAAAAAGTTATTCTTCATAAAAAGTCGAGCATAGTCTAACACCTAAAATACAACCATCAGATATTAAATTTTATTAGTTGTATACGAGGTTTGTCAAAAACAAAGCTACTTTACTCTTCATCAAAATTTATATTTTTTGATAAACCTCGTGTACGGCTTAAAATATCTGATGGTTGCATTTTAAGTTTTGGACCATGCAGAACTTTTTATTAAGAATAAATGTTTTCACAGAACCAATAATAAATAAGTTTTCCACTTAAACTTATAGAACTTAACATTCCCGTACGAAATAATTCATTAATTATAATAATTTTATACATTTCTTTAGGAAAGTCCGCAACTAGATATTCCGAAAATCAAGGAATTCTACGTAACTACGAAAGTAGCAAATCGTTTTGCCGAAACTAGCGTCGTGAGTAAAGTTGAAAATTCGGACAGTTATACGAAGCAAACGGCCTTTTCTGTGGTTTTGCCCGAGAGAGCATTTATCTCTGGATTTTACATGGAAATCGATGGCAAACAATACAAAGGATACGTCAAAGAAAAGAATGAAGCTAGAAAACTCTTCGGCAATGTAAGTTTATAAACCATATTTAAATAACTATACTCGAAGGCAAAAATCGACTCACTAGCTGAAGTCGCATTTCCTGTTTCAGTCTAAAAAATATGAAAATAAAAACTAGGGTGTAATTAGAGGTAGGGGTGGCAACACCAAATATTAAAAAACCTACTCAAATAGCAAACCCGTAATGGATAAGTTATCGTAAGTCAAATTATTATTAACCTTTTTTGTATCTGTATACAGATATAAGGAAAGTATAGGAATCATGATTTTTTTCGACCTCGAGTTTTCGACGGATTTTTACGTTTTGAGGTCCCCTAAATGTGTGTGTGTGTGTGTGTGTGTGTGTGTGTGTGTGTGTGTGTGTGTGTGTGTGTGTGTGTGTGTGTGTGTGTGTGTGTGTGTGTGTGTGTGTGTGTGTGTGTGTGTGTGTGTGTGTGTGTGTGTGTGTGTGTGTGTGTGTGTGTGTGTGTGTGTGTGTGTGTGTGTGTGTGTGTGTGTGTGTGTGTGTGTGTGTGTGTGTGTGTGTGTGTGTGTGTGTGTGTGTGTGTGTGTGTGTGTGTGTGTGTGTGTGTGTGTGTGTGTGTGTGTGTGTGTGTGTGTGTGTGTGTGTGTGTGTGTGTGTGTGTGTGTGTGTGTGTGTGTGTGTGTGTGTGTGTGTGTGTGTGTGTGTGTGTGTGTGTGTGTGTGTGTGTGTGTGTGTGTGTGTGTGTGTGTGTGTGTGTGTGTGTGTGTGTGTGTGTGTGTGTGTGTGTGTGTGTGTGTGTGTGTGTGTGTGTGTGTGTGTGTGTGTGTGTGTGTGTGTGTGTGTGTGTGTGTGTGTGTGTGTGTGTGTGTGTGTGTGTGTGTGTGTGTGTGTGTGTGTGTGTGTGTGTGTGTGTGTGTGTGTGTGTGTGTGTGTGTGTGTGTGTGTGTGTGTGTGTGTGTGTGTGTGTGTGTGTGTGTGTGTGTGTGTGTGTGTGTGTGTGTGTGTGTGTGTGTGTGTGTGTGTGTGTGTGTGTGTGTGTGTGTGTGTGTGTGTGTGTGTGTGTGTGTGTGTGTGTGTGTGTGTGTGTGTGTGTGTGTGTGTGTGTGTGTGTGTGTGTGTGTGTGTGTGTGTGTGTGTGTGTGTGTGTGTGTGTGTGTGTGTGTGTGTGTGTGTGTGTGTGTGTGTGTGTGTGTGTGTGTGTGTGTGTGTGTGTGTGTGTGTGTGTGTGTGTGTGTGTGTGTGTGTGTGTGTGTGTGTGTGTGTGTGTGTGTGTGTGTGTGTGTGTGTGTGTGTGTGTGTGTGTGTGTGTGTGTGTGTGTGTGTGTGTGTGTGTGTGTGTGTGTGTGTGTGTGTGTGTGTGTGTGTGTGTGTGTGTGTGTGTGTGTGTGTGTGTGTGTGTGTGTGTGTGTGTGTGTGTGTGTGTGTGTGTGTGTGTGTGTGTGTGTGTGTGTGTGTGTGTGTGTGTGTGTGTGTGTGTGTGTGTGTGTGTGTGTGTGTGTGTGTGTGTGTGTGTGTGTGTGTGTGTGTGTGTGTGTGTGTGTGTGTGTGTGTGTGTGTGTGTGTGTGTGTGTGTGTGTGTGTGTGTGTGTGTGTGTGTGTGTGTGTGTGTGTGTGTGTGTGTGTGTGTGTGTGTGTGTGTGTGTGTGTGTGTGTGTGTGTGTGTGTGTGTGTGTGTGTGTGTGTGTGTGTGTGTGTGTGTGTGTGTGTGTGTGTGTGTGTGTGTGTGTGTGTGTGTGTGTGTGTGTGTGTGTGTGTGTGTGTGTGTGTGTGTGTGTGTGTGTGTGTGTGTGTGTGTGTGTGTGTGTGTCGCATAACTCATAAACCGATACACAGAAAAACACCAAATTTTAAACTTAAGCTTTATTCCATGTCTAATGAACTGATTAGATTTTGGGCAGAGTTGGAACATCTGGGGGTACTTTATAGGTGGTTATTTTCATATTTTATGGAATATATCTGTTATTTACGTTTGGAGAATAAAATTATTCAAATAAAAGTTACTTCTAATATAATTATCTATAATTTTTGTTCTATACAAAATTTTCCTAAAATGGTCCGTATTCGAGAAACTTGACAAAATGTAAAAAAAATAATTTTTTATAAAAATTGTTCAAATAAAAGTTGTTTATAATATAATTCTCTATAATTTTTATTCCATACATAATTTCTCTAAAATAGACCGTATTCGAATTTGGAAGAAAACTCAAAAAAAAAAAAATTATTTCGGCCTGACGTGAAACGATTAGATTTTGGACAAAGTCGGAACATCTAGGGGGGTACTTTATGGGAGGCCGTGTCTATATTTTATGGAATATATCTGTTATTTATGTTTGGAGAAGAAAATTGTTAAAATAAAAGTTACTTCTAATATTATTATCTATATATTTTACTCTATGTCAAAATTTCCTGAAATGGTCCGTATTCGAGAAATTTGACAAAATGTGCAAAATTCTGATTTTTATGAAAATTGTTGAACTAAAAGTTGTTTGCGATATCGATCTCTATAATTTTTGTTTATACATGATCTTTCTAAAATGGACCGTAATGGAAAAGTGCTAAATTGAAATTTTTCAGTATTTTCGTTTTTAATGAATATCTATAGAAAAATGTTTCGAGGTAAATGTATGTGGACAATGTATATATTTAGTTTATCCTCTAAACATTTATAGATATGCTGCAAAAGGTTGTACAAAATAACCGGAAAAAGCCTATAATAACTAGATAGGAAAGTCATGTGTTGGACACATCAGATTTTTTCACCTCGAGTTGTTTCTTTCGTCAATTTAAATTTTCATTTTTCACTCCATAATTATCCATTTAGGTGAGACTGAAGAGCAAGTATCTACTTCGAAATCAGTCGCTGGATAAAGGTTTTTCAACAAATACCAAATCAGTTTACATACTGTCGGGATTCTGCGCAGTCTAGAATTCGTGTTCCAACAAACCTTATACTCAAAACTGTACAAAAACATAATGTTGCAACACAACCAAAACTAATCACAAACCGATTTGTGAACTGTCAAATCAGTTGCTGGGTCTGAATATAAACGAATTATCAAATCATCTATCGTCTCTGACACCTTCGATTTGTATTGGTCAATCGAATTAGTCTTCATAGTTTTTGTTCAATATCATTTATTTTATGGTTTATTAGGTCTGTTCTTGTTCTCAAAATGACCGGACCGTGTGCGTAAAGGCAAAACATTGTCGGAAAACCAGAACAAATAAAATTTTTAAATGGAATTGTACACTTTTGTTTATTCTATATTATAATAATGCAGTTCCTTTTGAAAGCTAAGCTTCAAATAATAATTGCATGCAGTGGCGGCTTGTAATAATTTTAAATGGGTGTTCACTTTTTCCAATAATTTTATCATTTGTAAGTTCGGATCAAAACTTTGTACAAGGGTGAATATCGCTGTTTTTTTTATTATTTGAGTTTGTAATAAGTGTAGTTATTATTATCAACATCATACTATTTTCAAACACTACAACTATTAATAAATGAATGTTTTAGTTAGTGTAATATTTGTTGAACACGCAGAATGTACTACATCTAGTACAATTGTGAATTGTACTAGACTGGCAACACTGGTTTGGCAACCTTGTTTGTTAGCGGCGCGCCAATTAATATGTTCTTTGACAGATTGAAGAATCTGTTGGCGTGTTTTATTCTCTTTTTAGCTATATGCATTTACCATACCGTCTCACTCCTGTTAGGCTCACTCATCATTATCAAAAAATATAGACTAACACGTATGAAAATAAAAATATTAAAATTAAATTTATATTATGTAATTTTAAAATAATGTGTTTTTATGAAATTTAACTGGGTGTTCAACGCACAAATGAACCAATGGAGAAACCGCCCCTGATTGCATGTAATGTTTATCATTATCATCCTCATCACAGTTTAACGGAATAAAAAAAAGGTAGAATAATATTAAAAAATGATTAATTCTAAAATTGCATTAATTTACAACCAGAACACTGGACTGGGAGATACGAAGTAGTCCGAGAAAAACCAGACCCCCTTTTATCTACTGCGCATGAGCCCGCCAGTTGTGGATCGTTATTTCTTAAAACCAGAACAGACCTATTATTGTTATAGTACGTCTGTTTAATTTATTAAAAATGTGTTTCATCATAACCGAGTTAAGTCCCAATTACCAACATATTGTCAATTATTAAAGTCTAGAGAAAAAAGAGTGCAGTAATTTAATTTGCAGAACGTAGTACAGGTTCAAGAGGTATAAATTGTATTTATACCTCATCCTTCAATGATTATTTGTAGTTAAAATAAAAATTTTAATACATCTGATTGGCCTACATTCGAAATAAAAGGGAAGTGCTGTAAAAGTGGAGATATAATGACGTTCATTTGTACTATATACATTTGGTTTTGGTACTGTGATTGTGAACTTCTATCTGAATTAGGGTGTGGTTCAAAGCCCAGTTGTACTGAAGCTCTAGGATTATTGTACCCCTTACAGTTTCTATCCCATCATATTGATTTTCTAGATGAATTCAAGAATATGTCTGATGGGTGCTTTCGCGATTTCTTCAGGTTCCGGATATTGTACTCCGAAGTAACATTCCCGTTCCTATTTAAGGTTCCGACAGTGGCATAGTATGTGAATAGGAGTTTCGTCCTCCTCTTCACATATTCTACATAGGGAGTCATCAGATATCACTAAGAGATTTAGGTATCTTCCAAGATTGTGAACTTAATATAGCAAGGCTTTAACAAATTCTAATTAACTAGGTACTTTGCATAATTGCCCTAAATTTCAATTTGTGGTATAGGCACCCAAACAAGTATCAAATAAAAGTTATATAAATTTGGAAAAACACATAATTTCAAAATATGTTTGAATATACAAGGTGTTAAGGTTCTGCCTGGGAAGTAAAAATATATATTTCTTAAATGGGACCCCCTATACTTTTATTTTAGAATAATAAGGTAATACTGCATTGGAACCTAAAATGTTTGTTAAAAATATTACAGGTTTGCCAAGCAATTAATTTTATTGTGAAAGTATAA